ATAACCGTTTTTAACATTGAAGAATGACGTTACAACAGCTTGAATTAGAATCTAATGAACACAAAGAAAACAGTATTTTATCATCTTTCATATTTATTGTTTCACTGTCGTCCTGCATTCATGCGTCACAAATTCGCGTGTCTCTCGTCGTAACACAAGGCAATTGGCTAGCTGTTGCTGCTCCCAAGCGGTATGGGAGGGTACTACATGATTACTTTCTGGGCGAAAGACTGCACAGGCATAAAAATTGGATATTTTCCCGCGGCACACCTGACAATGTCTCGCGGCACACCGGTTGAAAAACACTGGCCTAAACCATAAGATTGTCGATTGGCTCATTCCGCTATCACTCAAAAAGAGATTGAGCCTCAGACAAATCATCCAATCATCATGCAGAAAAGCTGAGCTTCCTGGCCAGCTTATAAACGCCCACTGTCCATAGACTCCCAGAGACGCTGAGCGTCCAATGGGCGGGACAAAATCAACATTTATCCAATGACTCGTCTCGTTTCAATGACTTGGGACAAACTACACTGAACTCTCCAGATGCCCAGCGTCCCCGCGGTCGATGCTCAGCGTGCACACAGTTTGAAGCACAGTGAAGCTGCGGGAATGAATGAGAAGAGAATTTCAACTCAACTCAACGCAACTCAACTGTATTTGTCGAGCACTTTCAAACAGCCAACGCTGCATACAAAGTGCTGTACATGGAGCAATTTAACATATACAACTAAGAGTAAAGCAAATCGTTAATAAATACGGTAGAAAGCACCGAACAGCAAAACCAAGAACAAATCTAAGTCATGCTGAGTCAAATGCCAAAGAATACAAGTGAGTTTTGAGGCGGGTTTTGAAGATGGGCAGCGAGGAGGCTTGCCGAATGTTCAGTGGTCAGTAAGGTCAAAACATTATTTGAATTAGGTCATCATTTCAAAATAGAACATCACATTACACTTGACAAGTTTTAATCACCTGCAATGTTGTACCACGTGAATGCTATTGCCACGAGGTGCATTTTATTGTAATTTTTTTTGTTTTTTGGATTTGTTCAACCAGAAATGTTCTCACCAGTACTCAATAATATTACTTGGTAAAATATGGCAGACCTCCATCTTCTGGTCTATCCCTTCACAGAATCGCGTCATAACCAGTAATAAGAAGCTGATTTGGAACAAAAGTTGAGCGCGTTGTAGCGCATATTTAGTCAATGACATGTCCACACAATTGTACGTACACACATATAATTTGATCACTTACTTTTTGACATTTTAGGGGAAGCTGAGCTTCCCTTGCAGTCTGAGAGCAATCACCTCTGCATTGTATACATGGTTCAGTGTTTTATAATAACTGTAAAAATAAAGCTGACTATCAAGTATCAAGTACAATTTTATTGTCAAATGTGCTGTATGTGAAACATACAGCACATTTGAAATTTCTTCCCTCTCACATTTTTTTGCTTTTTTTTTTTATATATCGTACTTCACGGATTTCACTTATCATGGGTTCTTTTTGGAACGTAACCTCCGCGATAAACGAGGGATTACTGTAGTTGTCTTTCAGTTCCAGAAACATTTACGGGTCCTACATAAAACTTTCACGTTGACACGTTTCAAAGTCAGGTACGGATACAAATTTTTATAATGGACCAAATGTGTGTGTCTGTGTGTGTGTGTATATTAGGGTGGTCCATTTTGGAAAAGTTTGTCGGATTCGTCGGGCCGGGTCGGAAATCTTGTCGATACTATGACACAAGGATGTGTGCAAAATTTTATTCCGATCGGATAATTTTATCCCGTCCCGCAGAGCGACCAAAGTTTCCCCTATGGAAAGAATGTTACGGGGCTGAATGGTAGTACGGTTTCTCCCGTACAGTAAGGATTTTGTTTTGCTCAGTTCGCACTTGCAATAATTCAAAGACGGAAGACAGGAACGCATGTATTGCAAAAAAGGCAACCGTGGTTATCCTTCAACACTGGTGAAATTGTTGGTCCATGTTAACTGGTCCATCTGTCTATCTGTACATCTGTCTACATCGCGCGACTGTCTGGAAGTGATCCGATCCGTTTTGCATTTTTTTCAGGCCGGGAGTGGTGC